ATGAAAACTAGGTAATAATTATGTAGGTAGGTTCTTTTTTAAACAAATCATACAAAAAAAAAAGTTCCGGAAACTTTTGGTTTGAAAAGGAACGACACTTTTCATACTTGAGTCATTTGTCCCGATTATCACTTAACGCGCATGTTTTCAGAGGCTAGGATAATGATAAAACCTTTCCGTAACTTCTAAAATATTCGGAGGGCATGTCGTTTGGGCTGAACCAATGAAAACAGTAGAAAATTATTATTTAAAACAAGAAAAGAATTGTGGAGCATTTAACAAAAATGTTTTTATGTCTACAATATGCTGCCATAAAATATTATAAGTATTATAAAATATTATAGGTATTATACGGTACTATAAGGTCCGTGTACCCAGTATTATACGAGTCGGCGACCCCTCGCTTAGAAGCAACTCACTTCCCCGGTGTCGAACCCTCGACCCCGGGACAACTGTCCGAGATGTTCTCTACTAAGCCAGAGCAGATAGCTGGATGCGGCGGGCAGCGCACCGCTCTGGTTCACTCGCCAGTCGCCGCTGGCCGCCGCTTGCTGCTGCCGCCAGCCGGCTGGAATTGGCGAGCGAACCAGAACGGTGCCCCAGCGATCCGCTCTGGCTCAATGGTGAGCGTATCGGGCAGCCGCAGTCAAAGTCGGAGGTTCGACACCGGGCGGACGAGATGCTTTTAAGGTTCTTTCTTTGAGCTACTTCGGCCAAGACTGAATTTGCCCAGGATGCGGTCGGAGGAAGGCCAAGGATTTGTTTATATCACTATAAATTAGACCAGATGATTCTCTTATGCGTCGCGGAAATGTTTGTAACGTAACTTTTCCGGTCGTTATTGTTCTGTTATTCGTAACGTTACTTCTGCCTTTTCAGGAACAGTTTCAGACCTGTAACGTTACAGAACGTACCTCTAGAATGTAACGTAACTACCTGGATCGGTTTTGTGTAACGTTACATGTGTAACGAACATAATAACTCAGACGCACGGTCTAGGTCGTATTTTGAAACGTTACTAAAAATGGAACTGTACAAAATGTAACTTTATTCGGTTACTGTTACGTATCGCGAAACTCAACGTATGCTCAATGACGTTATTGGTACGGTAACGTAACGAAAAACTCAGAGAAAACAACGTTTATTTTGTTACGGTACTGGTCCCTGGCTGCAGCGCCAGCTCCCGCGCAGGCCATCTACGCGTTCCTTCCGCAGCCCCAAGCCCCAGGCCAACTGGAGCAGGTCGTGGCGGCCATCCCTCCACCACCCGCGCCGGCCCAGGCCCAGTTGGTGAGTTTTCAATGCTCTTGCAAGGGTTGTAACTTGTGTTGAGGTGAAAGACTAATGTTGTATGTTCTAGATTACAGATTGATCCACTACTGCTGCGGGGCCGAGGGAGAGGAGGCCATGCAGCCCGAGAAGGGCAAGGAGGCCATGCAGCCCGAGGAGGCCCTGCAGCCCGAGGAGGGCATGGAGGCCATGCAGCCCGAGGAGGCCCTGCAGCCCGAGGAGGGCAAGGAGGCCATGCAGCCCGAGGAGGGCAAGGAGGCCATGCAACCCGAGGAGGGCGTGGAGGCCATGCAGCCCGAGGAGGCCCTGCAGCCCGCGGAGGGGAAGGAGGCCATGCAGCCCGAGGAGGCCCTGCACCCCGAGGAGGGCAAGGAGGACATGCGCACCGAGGACGGGGTGGGCGAGGTGCCTCGGGAGGGTGGCGAGGAGGCCGCGGCTGGGGTTGGGGGGTGGGG